CCTTTCCTATGTGCAGATATGTATATATGTTCTAATTCTGTTCAGTTTTTAAAGACTGATTCTGCCATTATTCTGAGACTAGGCCTACTAAAGTGGAGACTGTCGAACAAGACGTTAGACAGGGACGTAAGCTGCCAAAAAATCACTTAGAGTGGGGAAAAAAAGCTAGGTGTACACACCTTCCTGTGATTGACAGTGGTTTTGCTTCCTCAGAGCGATAACGTTTGCTTTATAAAATCTTGTTTTGTAGACTGGGAGAAGAGGAAGAACTCCTACAAATGCAATAATGGTATGTAATTTTTCCTCTCAGAGTGGTTATGATCCTAGCAGGTTTCTATCAAGTTTTTAATATTATTTTTTTTTTCCTCAGTAGTCCAAGGGAAAAAACAACACCTTGTTGATGTTTTAGTTTAACAGTTACTACTTGTAACTGTTAGGAGTCAAAGCAAAATTACTTCAATATAGAGAGACATAGGTGAATAAAGAAAAATGTATGTGGACTGTCAGAGCAGATCAGCATATATAGGCAAATATGTAAACTCGAGTGTGTTGGTTCTCAAAGTAAATCAATGTGCAGACTGAGAATTCTCTCCTAGTTCTGCAATTTCTACGAGTGTAAATAACTGTCTAAGAAAGCTTATATCCTTGTACAAATTGATATCATATCGATAAGATTTACCAGACACGGGCACACTGAAAATGGGGAAATATACATGAAATGTAGTTTATCAAAGAACAACACTAATGATAAATGAGCTTTTGCAAGTTCACTGTGGAATCTATATTCAAACTTCAGACAAATCTCTAGTTCATTTCTTTACTTTTCAAAGCATCTGTGGATAAAATTCTGTCAAATATTGAAGAGTAATATTTGTGTCTTAGCCCTGGAATATTGGGTTGAAAAACAAGACTTTAAAAAAAGCTTTTCTTTTCTTTGTAGGGGACAGGTCATTAACATGCGGTACCTGGAATATTTTGAGAAAATTCTTCATTTTATCAAAGATAGGATCCTTGTTTATCATGGGTAAATTGCTGATGTTTTCCCCCCCTGCTTCACTCCCCTCATAACACTGATTTGAAATTTACATAATATTAATTTCAGAAAGTCTGAGGGATATTTTCTTTATTGTAGTAAGTTCTAGTTTTCTTAGTATCTATAATTGTCTTATTTCCTATCGGAAATGCAAAATCCTATTCATTGCCACGTAAAGAAACTTAAACTAATAAGAAGAAACATTGTGAATTACAGTATACATAGAAAGTAATAATGGTGTTGAATTTGTACCCACAGTTTTGGCATGAGTGGGTCTCAATTCTTCTAAAAATATGATTTATTAAAGACATTGGGTATCTTCCTGGTAGAATAGAGTACAGTTTCTCTGAATACTGAGATGAATTTATTAAATAGTAAGAGTGAGGAAAAAAAAGAAAATATATGGAAGGTAATTTAATTCAACCTGGTATTTGACAAGTAGTTTTAAAAGGAACAGAGAATCTTTACTACCTGTTACCTAGATGGGTTGGTAGACTTTGTCCTGGAACAGAAGACAGTTGTAGGATCTTGAATGAAAGAATGTGATGAAAGGTAATCTGAAAATTGATGTTGGCATCTATTTCAAACTTTGATCAGGTTTTTAATGAGTAAAATATCTTCCCCACTTGTAGCTCATTTGTGGCAATAGTGTTTTGACAGTGTTAAAAAATTAAGAAACTCTTTTAGCTTTAAACCCTCTAATTTTTCTTTGGCGTGGTAGCTTTTATTAAATACTGAGTTCTGTTTTTCAATCTCATCATGCTACTTAAGTATCAAAAAATGAAAGTGCGGAATATCCTTATAACAGTGGAAAACATATAAGTTTCAGAAAATTTATGCTAGTTGCTGAAGATACCTAAGTTTTTTAGTAAATAGGAAGTCTGTCCTCCATTGGGAGAAAGTTTGTTCAGAGTGAGCCAGCAGCGTTTGACCTTAAACCAGAGCAATTTGTGCTGTGATTTTTAAAAATAATTCTGTTCTTAAAATCTTAGTGTACAGTAATTAATAACTATTAGAGCACTAGTTCAGTAAGTTTCTTCACGGTCCGGCTGTGCCTGTGTCTGTGGTATTTATATACCTTTGAGGCTACACAGATGCATATATTTTGAGAAGGATATTTCTAACATTAACTCTGTTCTTTTTCTGTCTTTCCTCATCAGCAACCCCCTGCCCACAGCACTCATGCAAACACTGTTTAATGATTCAGAGTGGCCAACAGCAAATGAGTAAGATAAACCTGAAGTTTGAAGTTGAGGTTTGAAGCTGAAAAAAAAAAATAAGCTGAGCTGACATAGGAGGAAATTACTTTTTGAAGAATAGGAGAGCATGTGGAGGAACTAATTTTCAGAAAAGAAATAATTACATGACTTTCAATAACTTATTCCACTATGGCTAGTTAGGTTAAAGCTAGATGCACTTACAGAAATGCTACATGTGTTCAACCATTGAGATTCCATATTTAATTTTTTTCCAGTGCTAATAATCCAAAAGGACTATTAGAAGTTCGAGAAGCTTTGGAAAAGGTACATAAAGTAGAAGATCTTCTTCCCATAATGAAGGTAATTTAAAGAAAAACTTCAAAATATAATAAAAATAATGAAATGTATTCTAGGAGATACACAACAGTTACATTCTGAGGAACTGGGTATAAGTTTAAAATGAGTAACTCAAACCACTAACTCAGGTTATTTCAAATCTGCATATGTAGGGTATGACCGTCCCTTTGATATATGCAGATGTGTGATGTATATTTGAAAGGCTTGGCCTAACTGTGAATTGCTAAAGAAATGACAGGAAAACAAAATGTTAAATGTAACTCTTTGAAGCCAGCCTTATCACCTGGGAGTGTTTGTGGTCAGATCCACCATAATGGGCTTACAGTATGCCTGTACAGTATGAAAGGAAAAAAGGGAAGATGTGTGTCTGAAAGATTAGGAACACGAAAGCTCTTTTTACCTTAGGTACCTTGGTGCAGGTCAGTACGTGGGGGCTCTGGCAGGGAAAATGGGGGAGTAGTTGCCCTTAGTGACTGATAGCTACTGTGAAATAAAATCTTGGTGTATGTTCTTGTACCTTGGAAGACTGTCAGAAAAGTGTGGGGAAACCTGCAGGTTTTCTTCTTGCTGGTGGTGGCCTTTCTACAAAGGCTTTGGATATATGACGTGTAAAATTATTTATACTCTTGTCTCGAGTTAATAAGGCTTGAGCTGGGTTTAAGTAAAAGGTCTTCCCCCTCTCCCCCGAATTAATCTAGGTGTGTAAGTATTTGGGTTTGGGGAAACCCATTACAAAGTATTTATTTTTGAAAGATTGGACAGGATTTTATTTAGAATACAATAAAATTTGGGAAGAAACAGTCATTCTAAATAGAGACAAACTCATTGCTTGCTTATCGAGTGTATCCACATTGCGATTTCATATCTGAGCAAGGACGGGTCACCATAGAACAGAACTTTCTGAAGATATATTGCTGCTATTACTGATAGACTGTCTGGGTTTGAGTATGTTCATGGTAGCAGTGCTTATATGTGCACTACTGATATCTCTACAGAAGCTACATGCCTCAAGCACTAGATTTTTCTATGGTTTTTTTTAATATGTATTACTAATGTAAGTGTCTTCAGAGAACAAACCATAATTTTGGAGGTCTTTTTAATATTACTGTCTTTTTCTTGGCCTTGAAAGATGAAGCCAAGTGGATGCTAACTGAACCTAACCAAAAACTTGTGAAGAGGTAGTAGATACAGGGGTGGATAGACAATTAAGTGTTCCCTAGTGACACAAAAATGTGCAGGTGGGGCCCTGTAGAGCACCTAATATGGCTACTGTTGAATTGTAGGCCAGACAAAATGCTATTAGTGGAGTTAAAAATATAGGTTACTCCAAGAGGATGATGAAAATATGTAAACATAGTGGACTATATGTTACTTATTTCAAAATAAATGTCTCAACTGGCAGCAAATATTCTTCCTGGTTTTCATAACCTGTACATTTTGCTCTGGTTTGAATCTCCTGTATCCCATTCAGAATTGTATCAAAGTAGAATGCTGTTTCTCATTAGAGACTTTTAGATTTGTTTCTTTAAAATAAATACAGATTATCTTTAAACAAAACATCCTGGATGACAAGTTCTGTCTTAAATAATTACCTGAGTAATTCATTCAACACTTGCATGATATTCATTCACAATGCCTGTATAAAATGAATGTCTGCTACTATTGATGTAGTTGGTTATTCAGGTAGCTGGGGAACGTTGTATGTCATAAGCTGGGCTTTTGGCTTTACTTAAATACAGTTTTTGCCTGGTTTATACAACTCTGGCTATTTTGCACTTAGCTTTGTAAAATTCTTACTTTGTGATATTTTTCCTTCTGATGAGGATAAACATTAATTGAAACTGGGTTTATACAGCTCTGGCTATTTTGCACTTAGATACTGTAGCTTTGTAAAATTCTTACTTTGTGATATTTTTCCTTCTGATGAGGATAAACATTAATTGAAACTGGGTCATAGTTAATAAATTGTTGCTGTGAGCTGTATTCTGGAATCCGCACCTAGACTAAGGCAGGTACTTAGTGTAAACATAAAACAGGCTCTGAAATTCCTGCTTTTGCGTTTCCATTGTTACACCAAAAGGTTACTATCAACATGCAGCTTGGGGAGAAATCTGTGCATCTCAAACTGCTTTGTACAGTTGCTTTTCGTAAACAGTGCTGCTTTATATTCACTATATAGTTACAAAGTTGAATATCAATATGCCTCATTCAGTATTTATGATTTCCATTCAGTAGGAAATAAAGAATAACTGAAACAATGTAGTTGTCAGTAATTCTTTGTCCTCTTCCCTTAGTTTGTCCATTTTCATTTCTGCTCCTTGTATTTTAGGTGTTTCAAAACAATAGCTAGGCAGTCTGTCTGTTCACTTTAATACTACTTTTTTTCTCTTTTGAAAGCAGTTTAACAGTAAAACAAGAGATGGGTTTACCGTGAACACAAAGGTCCCCAGCCTCAAGGATCAAGGGAAAGAATATGATGGATTCACAATTACAATAACAGGAGATAAGTATGTTTGCTATTTTCAGGCGTTCAGGTACATTAAGTAGTGATGAAGTATTAGCAATTAATCTTCTCAGGTGCCATTTCTACTTGCATAAAGTGGGGTTTGTTTTTCACTGATGGTATTTTTGTAAATAACTAAAAAAATTTGTTCATTTGAGGACTTCTGTTTCCTGTTGTGTTCCCTAACAAAGACGGAATATGGGTACCATTGATGGAGTAGGCCCAGTTGAGATGATTTTCTAACATATAGCACAAAAGTGAAGAGAGACCTTGTTATTGATCTTAGACTATAAAAAGCTGAAAGGGGAAAAATCTCAAAAATCTCAGGTTTTATCTATATCAAAATACATTTCTTGTTGTAAGACCTTGTCTGTTATGGTGACTGAAAAGTCCTGAATGGAATGGAAATTTCTGTGATCTAAGAATGGAAGAGATGCTCTTCTGTTTGGATTTTTGGCCTTTTTTATGGGTTTTTTCTGAGATGTTTGCAGACCTTCTATCTGCAAATGCCAATTTAGATAGTACCGGAATGTATGAGGATACAGTTGAGAGGCTTTGGGCCACTCTTTGAGCAAGACAGTAAAATTCTCACTTTATGGATACTGGTTCTTTGTCTTCCTGAAGAATGAGCATTAGTCAGAAGCTCTCTCCTTAGTAGTAACTTTGACTTATGGGATTTAAAATTCTAGGCATTAGAATTTTTCCCCAAACTTGTGTGCTTCCAATGAGTGGCATGGAAGCCAGACTTCTCTTCTAAAATGTTAACATATCTCTTGGGTTTTAATTTTACATTCTAAATCATCTGCCTATATACAGTGAAGTGGCATTAGATATGTGGTGTTGCTGTTCTGGGGAAAATAATTTGGTGTCAGTAAAAAGGTCTGGCTTTGTTCTGCACAAACTTTATTCTCTATCAGTCTGTCTTGATCCGTAGTTTGTAACTATGCTTTTATACCAAACCAGTTCCATTTTGGTAGTTAAAGAGTTAACAAAACTACAGTTTACATTCTATACAAAAATCTCAAGCCCATGAAGCTCTTTTAAAGTTTCATATGTCTTGTTTTTTACCTACCCTTTAAGTGAAACACTAATGCTTGTCAAGTATTCTTCAATGGAAATACTTTATCTGTGATTAGACCGCAATCTTTATGTATTCTTTCAGACAAACTTACAATGTGACAAAATGTTTTTAATTCAGTGATTTTTTTTTTTTTTCTTTTTCTTCTTTTTTCTCTCCACCACAAAGAGGGCAATGCACATAATCTGCTTAAGGAAAAAGGTTATAATGTGGTATTTAACTGTAGTGCATTTGTAACTTACCCTGGATATTAGTTTATGCATCAAGTTCAGTTCAGAAAAATTCTTACCTCCTTTTTTTGTTTCATCTACTTGATAGAGTGGGGAACATATTATTTTCTGTAGAAACTCAGACAACAGAAGAGAGAACGCAGCTGTATCATGCAGAAATAGATGCGCTATATAAGGATCTAACAGCTAAAGGGAAAATTCTAATTCTGTCTGCAGAGCTGGGGGTAAGGTTGTGATAATGGGAACTACGAATTCCTTAATAGAATTTTATTATGTTTTTATACTTTCTGTTTAATAGTCACTGTTCTAATAATTTTTGACAGAGATATTAAGTAATAAAATCAACTGCTTGCTTAAACCCAGTTATGACAAATACTGTAAAAAGTTGCTCTCATTCTATCTGTTACTTTAAAATTTGCTATTCTTTGTGGCAGTAATGGAGAGTCTAGACAAGCTGTCAGTATCACAGTGTATTCCTTTCCCTGTCCATGCTCCCTTATTTTCTTTATTTTTCTCATGGGTTTATGTTCACTGTTTCATCATCCTTATAAGCACAGCTTAGGATTTGGCTCATGGTGGCTACATATAAGATGAGAAGTAACACGAATTCATGAGAAGCACTGGAATGGTGTTTATGTTGATTTGTATTGCAGTGAGAATCTGACTACATATGAGCTTGTGCCTTCCATTTTTCATCCTTTAACACAGTGTAGATGAACTGTGTTTTACCAAACAAAATAATTTGCTTAAATATCTGTTAATCAGACTTCAACTACTCAGCTTGACATTTTTCACATTTGAAATGGTTCTTTACTGTGTTGTTTGGGTTTTTTTTACTGTAAGACTTTCCAATATGTGTTCTTTTCTGTGGTATTTACATGGCTATTAATTAATTCACTTTTTTTTCCTCTGGCTTAGGAAGTAGACGCTGTTTGCAACTTGATCCTGTCGTTAGTTTATTACTTCTATAATTTAATGCCACTTTCAAGAGGATCTAGGTTAGTGATTGTCTTTATCATGTCTGTTATCGTGGATGTACGCTGTAAAATGTCCATGCTGAAAAAGCTCGGGGTTGAGCTGTGTGTCCTGCACAGTCTGTCATTGTGTGCTGCCCTGATGATGGGTACTGACTTAGTACTGTTTTAAAAGCTAGTTTGTAATTGCTGATGGTAACTATTCCTAGCTGCATGTATATCTAAAATGATGAGTAGTCTGTACTTATAGACTTCAGCTCACAGATTGACCAATGTCATTTTTAAATTGTAATGCTTGGGTTCCTAATCTACATTATGTTACAGCACTGTAATTTAACTCAAGAAGCTTTACCAAAACATGTATTTAACATGAAATATACTTCGAGATGATAACTTATTTTAATAAAATACACTAAAGTATTATTTTAGTAATTTATTGCAACCGTTCAGGTCACCAAATAAAACCCGAGAATAAAGTCCCATATGTTGCAGATCTCTTCAACTGAAATTCTAGTTTAATTCAAACGTGGCTACATCTAAGACTATTATGAATCTCTGTTCCACAAAGCACTTAAGATCTTTAAGCTTATTATTAAACACACAGTGCAGTAGAAAATAAAAAAGTCCTGAGACTTCATTTTTATAATCAGACTTTGCCTTTATCTTATAGAATGTAAAAATTAATAGAAATTCTGTCTGAGTTTCATAATTAAAAAAACTAAGTTAAATTAAAAAAAAGTTAAGTAACTGAACAGCTTTACAGTGCCTCTAGCTCGGTTGCAGTAGAGTTCGTAAACTCTTCTGGGCTACAGTTAAGCTTCTTGGGAACAGGAGTTTGCTTTGTTTTCAGCTCTGTGGAGTCTTAAGAACTCGTAAGCCTGAAATTACGATTCTGACTACTATAGAAACAGTGTTCTTCAGTAGTTAAACTCCAGGGGATCATAACTTCATTCCAGTGGTGTTGGAAAGTAACAGTGATTTCACTTTTTAAGTGTTTCATGCTTGCTTTTACTTCTAAAATAAAGTAACTACCACAGTAATTTTTACTAGCCTTCTATGAAACAGTACTATATTCTGGGTTTTTTGTAGTCTAAAATAGCATTATGGAAAGACTTTTACTGTACTTTGTTTGTTGGTTTTGTTTGTTTTTTTAGTGTGATAGCTTATTCAGTGATCATGGGAGCATTAATGGCAAGTGGAAAAGAAGTATCAGGAAAAATCCCTAAAGGAAAGGCAAGTATCAAAATACACAGGTTCAGTCTTGGAGGAAGTAATACTTGTAAACGTGAGGAAGGAGCTGTAAGAATGAACAGAAGTTGCACACTTGTTTACTGGAGGTGGGTTGGCTGCATATTATGGTGTCTTGCAGCCTGAGAGTTTTGAAAATTTCATTGCTGTTCGGACAGCAGGTGAGATTTAGAGATAGTATGTGCCATAATTCTGATTAGTCGAATTGTAGCAGTTTTTGTCCCACAGTAATTATAGATTTTTAACTGAAGCATTTCTAGTGTGCTGAGCTGCTCTTTCCAACTTTCTTTGAGAAGGGTTCTGAGAGTACTTGGGCAGAATTAGGGACTCTTCTGGCACACAGCAGAAATTTTCTGTCGTTGCTCTCAATGTATGCCAGAGCATTTAGGGTTTCGTGAGTAGGAATGTATTTGCAGCTTCTCTTGATTTCTCCTTCCCCTCTGTATTCTGCTTAACTTAAAATAAGTCCTAGTTTTTAAGTGACTACATTTGAATATTATACCACCTTGCTCAATAAAGCGTTTCCCTTTCTTTATTCAACTATTGGTCTGTTAGCTGTGTTACCTTTTCAGCACGAAAGGAGTGAGACCACCTCTGTCTCTTTAATGTATTGTCAAAAGAATCAGTGAAATTCCAATGAAAATCAAAGTTGTTGAAGAAAATATCCTGCGTGGATAACTGAAGAAAGAGCCACTTTCCCTTTTGTTCTAGAAAGCCCTGAAAACAATGATGTTTATCCTTTCAGTACAATGAACTCCTAGAAGCTTTCAAGAGCAAACTGCACTTGCTTAGTAGCAAGAAAGCTTCCTGTTCAGTATGCTGTTAAGCAGGTATCTTCACCGTTCTGTGGGAGTTCAAGCTAAGGTAAAAGACTTATGTGAGTCTTCTTATGGATCTTCTTAGGACTTAATAGGGTAGTACATTTTGCTGACTGATTTTACGCAGGCAAGCAGAGTTTCAGGATTACTAAAAAGCAGGATTTCTGGCTTGCAGAAAGCTTTGGGGACATTTTTACGTTTGAGGGTTTTTCCTGAAACAGAGTGCCTGAATTGGAACAACTTTTCTAAAAAGTTTTCACCAACTGGAAGATTTTTTTTTTCCTTTTTTTTTTTTGACCCAGATTCTTTAGAAAGCTATTTCTGGTCCCAAGCTTATGACAGCATGCATTATCAGACCACTCTGAAGACAAAGATGGCCAGTAGTCAAGAGTCCTGTTAGTGCCTGGCAGGTCAGTCAGTAGCCACGGCCAGTGTAGCTTCCAGTATTGGTTGTGGTGGGGTGTGCAAACCCACAGTTTCAGTGCCTGACATGCACACTGACTTCCAAACTGGTGATGAGGGACAAAGTAGTCTGGGCACAGACTAGTTAGTAAGCTTACTCCTGTCTTACCAAGAATATAGGTAGCATGCTCTCTGAACCCTTCCTTGAATTCAGCGAAAATTCACTGAACCACAAACGTGTCAGCTTAAATGGTTCAGTACTATTGAACTGATGTTTTTGACTGAACATTGTTTTGCTGAAAACTTATTTTCAGCTATAGATATGAAGTTGTACAGGGTTCTTGGCTATATGTAGTCAAACTTGTCTGAAAACCCACTGTGGAAGGAAAGAAGTAATACAGAGTGCCTGGAAAGTCTAATATAAATCTACCAAATGTGATAAAATATTTTGCAGAATACAGTACATAGAAATGGGAAATATACCCATTTTATTTGGACACTGTAATAAAGGGCTGAAGACAGTCAATGTTTTCTGGCACTGACTCATTAGTATAAACATCTTGTTAAGAGAAAAAAATAAATAACTGGATTTTTTCAGAAAAGGAAGGATATGTTTTTAAAGTTGAATTTATATGTTAAGATTATTTGAGGATTAACTTCCTGAAATTAGAGAACTTAAAACTTCTCTAATTTCTTAAGATCTTTTTTATTTTGTTGCATTTTCAGCTGGTTGATTTTGAAGCAATGACAGCACCAGGATCTGAAGCTTTTAGCAAAATAGCAAGGAGCTGGATGAATCTAAAAAGGTAAATCTTTTTATTCAGATGGGGAGTGGAGAAAAAATACGAAAGACTTTATATGTAAAATTTAAACCTATACTAAAAAAAAGTTACTTAAATGATGAGTGTAGTAAATGATTCAGTGTATTTTTTAACACTTTAGGAATTTATCAGACAAAATTTGAATTTACACACAGAGTGTATTTCTAGTCTAACAGAGCAGTTAGTAGTCTAGACATTCAGTTATGTGAGTGGTATCCTCTGAGAAAATTATTTTGGTTAACATTTTCTTCATTTTGTCCAGTGGTTAAATTTGCCTTTTTATTATTTTTTTTATGAATAGTAAATCTGGTGATTTAGTGAACAAAGCAGTGGAAAATTTTAACTTGATTATTTTATTTTTTTTTCATTCTTACGGATCTCTTCAACCTATATATATCAGAAGTCATTTACTTACCCTTTAGTGCTATTTTAATTTGGGGATAAGTATTTTCAAAGTAGATGGAAGTTTTGAATATCCAGAATTGTGTTATTTTGTATAACTGCATGCCTTTTGTATAATACTTTAAAATTTTGATTTTCATCTGAATTAATTTTTTGAATACTGAACACATCAATTCCTAGTCAGTATTATGAATCCGGTGCATTTGATTTGTCCCTTAGTGGTTATTGCCCATACAAAATCTAAAAATTGGGCCAGACACAAAACCAGTTTTTAGTATCCTTCAAGTCAGGATCAAGACACTTAAAGGGTGCTGAGAGAACTGGCCGATGTCCTTACAAGGCCATCTATAACCTCTGAAAGCTTGTGTGCATCAGGGGACATTCTTGGTGACTGCAGAAAAGGAAATCTTATGTCCTCCTTCAGGGAGGCCAGAAGGACGACCCAGGGAAACTATAAGCTGGTCAGCCTTACTTTGCTCTCTGGGAAAGTCATGAAGTGAGGCCTCTAGGAAAGCATTTCAGGGTATACAAAGGAGAAGGTGACTGGGGACAGTCAACACGGGCTTACCAAATGTTGTGTGACCCAGTATGATTGCTTTCTGTGATAAAACGACTAGATTTGGGGATAAGAAGAGAGCAATTGATGTTTATTTTTACATCAGCAAGGACTCCCACGATATTCTCATACCACATTGAGAATATGTGGTCTCGACAAATGGACAGCTAGATGGGTAAAAAGCTGTTTGGATAATCATATTTAGAGGGTACTCAGTACTTTAGACCACTCCTAGAATAGTGCATCCAGTTTGGGGACAGGTGCAATATAGACTATGATAAACTGGAGCAAATTCGGTAGAGAGGGACCAAGATGGGCAGGGGGCTGGAGCACATGCCTTCACCGGAGTGAACTGGGCTTGTTCAGCCTGGAGAAGAGAAGGCTTTGACCTAACAGCAGCTTTGCAGTACCTGTGAGTATTGAGAAGATGGAGCCAGGCAGTGCTTGGTGGGGGACAAATGGCAACATGTATGAGTTGAGTTGAGATTCAGACTGAGCATAGTCATTTCACCCTGAGGGTAGTCAAGTAGCGGAGCAGGCTGCACAGAGAGGCTGTGTGGTGTCCATCCCTGGAGATCTTCAGGACCTGGCAGATAAAGCCCTGACACCCTGGTGTGACTTTGCAGTTGACCTTGCTTTGGGCAGGGTGTTAGATCACAGACCTCCTGCGATCTGGTCCACCTGAGTTATTCTGAGAGCCTGAGGAAGTCTGCAGCTGCTGTTAGTGCCGAATATCTCATACTGATTAGTGTTGTTCAACTTTGTTATCAGTGGTTCTCAGCCTGGTGAGTTTCACGAGACTATAAGATCCCTTCCTAAATGAAGAAGGCTATTAATAAGACTCAAGGACATCTTTGTCAGACTCAGGCTAAAAATCTACACATAAATGCAGTCAAATTCAGCATTTATTAGGGAGTGATATTTTTAAACTACAGTGTAGCAAGTTGTAGTTTTTATTAAAAGTAGTCTGCACAAATATTGTGACTTGGTTGTCTTGGAAGTATAAAATATTTATGATTCCCACAATTTTTTTTTACTGTAAGTCTCCCAATTTATATACTCAACTTACTTCTTAATCCTCTGTTCATGTCTTTTTAAAGACATGTCTTTACCAAAGGGGAACTTCTCTCTTGGGAGCAAAGTCAGCTTAAGTTATTTCAACCCTACCTATGTGTTTCTGACCCTCTCAGTGGTACCGTTGAAATTTGTGGGAATCCATAGCGAACCAGATCAGGGAACTGATTTGTGTTAAAAATAACCTTGCCAAAACCAAAATTTATTTTTAACCGAGACCACTTCATAGCATAGTCCCACCGATAGTATTGCTGGCTCAAATAGGAGATATATAATGGGCGAGGAATGAGCCAAAGTGGAGAAAATGCTAAAGGTGGCTTTGCTTGATGCTGAGAAAAATGTCTGTAGAAACACAACCTAAAGGACTTGAAGTAATACTATGAAGGCAATTAACCTGAGTGGCTAATTTGTCTGTGGTAGAACAATAATAGTGGGAAAAGTAAGTAAGGCTTGAAGACTAAAAGCAATAAAATTTTGCTTTAACTTCTGCTGCTTTGAAGGCCCTTTTATATAGTCATTATTTTCATTTTGTATAGTGAGTGAGGAGTCACGAGAAGCAAGAGCTGGTTGTGGGCAAAGATGCTTGACTTCAAGTATCAAATTTGTTGGAGAAGGGAATGAAGAGAAGTATAAGCTAATGTGTTAACTTCCAGGTAAATCATAAAACTCAGCAAAAGATAATTAATTTTATTTTTTTTCTCTCCTCTTTCAGTATTTCACCTTTTTACAAGAGCCTGCCATCAGTATCAGAGACTTTTCCAACCCTGAGAACGATGATTGAAGTACTAAATACAGACTCATCTCATTGTCTAAAAAAAACTATAGTTGTTGTATAATTTATACAAATAAAAGGCAAAGAGGTACTGCTTCATAAATTATTTCGAAGGGGAAATTATGGTCAAAATGGTTTGGTTTGGTTTTTTAATAGAGTAAACTTACTTGACTAGTTATCACTAGAATAAAAGGAATCCTTCCGTGACCAATAATATTAAAAAGGAAAAGAAGAAGCAGAACAGCTGATTTCTTGTATTGAGTCCTACTCTAACAGGAAATACAGTTGTTCAGGGGTCAAACCGAAGAGCAGTAAGAAACTTGATCACAGTTATGATCTGAACATACTGCAGGTGAAAAGTTATTTTAAAAAAAAAAAGTAATCTGCGTTGGAAATACCACTATACTACTTTCCATTTGTTTTTTTTTCTTTTCCGAAGCCTCTGTCTTCTGCATGGAAAACTTCCTGAGCTGTACATGTGTGAGTAATTGCTAAATACACAGGCATTTCATGTAATGCAGTCCTGTGAAGAAACAGATGTCAGCTTAAAAGAATGGGTTTCAGGAAAACATCGTTTGGCAACAAAAACAAAGAAATGACATATTTGGAGTTAGGCTCTTGGTGAGTAAATGTCAGAAACACAGCAACTGTACATCCATCTCCCTTTCCGAGTACCCCGTGGTGGTGGTGGTTGGCAAAAGCTATCAACGGATTGACAATGTATTGAGAGAGCTAGCTAGGGCTCCTTGGGTTGTTTTTGTTGGAAGGGCCTGGCAGCATTCTGGAAAAGCAGGCTGCCTGTAGGGCAGGGATAATTCAGTTCAAATAACACAGACAGTACCATGAACCAATTTCTGATTGTAATAGTGATGATGATATTTCTGGTGAGTCCTGACTGAATTACACTCATTTTAGCTTGAGCTCCATGACTTTAGAGCTCTTTATCAGGTTAAGTGGTTTCAGAAACAGCAAGCAATGGTGGGGCAAATGTCTGATTTCCTCAATGGCTTTGATCAACTTTTTTTTCCCTGCCTGAATACTCAGCATTTCAGAAAATCTACAAAACTGTTCAGTTTTAGGTACAGCTTTCAGCTTGTTTAATATTGATGGTCTAAACTGTGATTCTGTTGCTGTCATCTTTTACACAAATACTTTATTCTTTACTTTGCTTGCTTCCAATTTTCCGGACGTTAGATCTTTGTGGGGCAATTGCAAATATCTGTCCTAACCGTGTAATATGAGATATGCTGACGAATAAGTTATTTACCAATGGAGAGGGAAAATATCCTGCATATACCCAAAGCATACCAATAGCAGTGGTGTGGTTGCTTTTCTCTGACTGCAGCACAGGGCAATCTCAATCTCCTTTTTAATGAGGAAAGAAACACAGCAAACCATCAAGAATGTTGATATAGGTGAACTACTTTAATAATAGGACTGAAAACAGGGTGGATTTGATGAATGGAGGGTCTTTTCTTGATTATTCCACACAAGTATTTATCTGATTCAAAGTGGACTCTGTGTGTGTTTAAGTTTGGGGAGGGTGGGGGGGATGTGCCACAAGGTAAGTTAGAAGCTGCTGTGAGTACTGGCACCTATTATAAGAAAAGCCCTGTTGATTTGAAGTTAGATTTCACTATTTGTTACCTTGATCACTGGCAGAATAGGATGGCTGTGGGTAGCTGGAGACCCGAGTGTCTACATGTATGAAGGATTTCCACAGAGATTGAAAATGAATCCCAAAGAGTGGATGCGTACTATGTCTACATTAGCAAGCAGTGCATCCCACCCAGTACGAGTAGCTCACTTCCCACATTATAAGCATTTCAGAGGTTTTACATTTGTCTGCTTGTCTAGTTTATAAACTGACTGCTCGTTGTATTTGGAGTGCATGTTGGCAATGCATCTTCCAGTTTGGATGTCTTTTGGGTGAAACAACCTGAAGCCTCTCTGCGCTGCGAACCAAAATGTGGTAAGTGGAGAAACTGAGGAGACTCGCTTCAAAAGTGTGCTCCCAATTCAAATTAAACCAGTGGTGCATATATACCTGTGGGAATTTTTTCCATGAACTGTTAACATTCTGAGATTCTATGTTGAAAATACAAGGGCAGGGAAAGAATGTGCTTTTCTTCTGCTTAATGCCTTTTACCATATACTGCTGAAACAAATGTTGCTGTCTGTGTAGTAACTCTTCCTCCCTAAGAACAAGTGCTGTTCCACCATTAACTTCTTGCCATGCTAACTTACCAGACGTGTAGGCACAGCAGAAGTAGCGTTGTATGAAGGCAGGGGAAGGAATAGGAAGCAGATTTTTTTGTTAGATGTTTTTAATCCTGATTCTGGTACATACGAGAGTAGATCTAGAATCTATTTCAAAATTTGCTTGGATTGTGTTGGAACTATAGTGATAACATAGTTAGATTTGATTAAAAAATAGTGACCCAGCTCCCAGCCAAAGGGAGAATGATCTAATGTGCAATATCTTGAACTGTAGAAATCAACGTTTGTTTTGCAAATATCAGAAAGCAAATGGTGTGCCTATGTCTGAGCCCATTTTTCCTAAAGCCTGTTTTTCTCTTCTCCTGGTTGTTTGCAGGGGAAATTATTAAGTAGGTTCAGGTACATATATCTGATCAGGGCATGCATAATAGATGCGTGCCCAAAATGCAAGGAAATCCAGAAAACTGGGGAAACAGTTGTTTGGAATCCAAGTTGTCAGCCATTAGTGAGCACTAATCCACTTTGTAATGTTGCTCAGCATTTTGAAGGATAGGTATAATTTTGAGTAAATAAAACTCATGAGGAAAAAAAACCATAGAAGCAGAATTTATATGCAGACCTAAGGTTCACTAACCAAACTGTAATAAAGACAAATTTGATCACATATCTGGCTGGTACTAATGAACATGCATTTTAAACTTTCTTAATCAGAATTTATGTAAAGGATGAAAGTAGGTGTTTCTCTCCAAGTAAAGATAAAGGAGGCTTGTGAGTGTTCATTGAAAGAATTGGGTTGCTGTGATGAAAGCATTTTCCCACCATCCTTTTGTTTGAGTACCTTCCCCTACCCCACTAGAAATAAGCACTGTTTGCTTCTATGGTGTCTTCTATTTAAAGGTCTAGAAGTTTCAGAAACCTCTATTAGATTTCATTATGAGGGAAAGGAATTGTTATTTTCTCCCTACGTAATGGAGAAACAGGTACAGTACCTGGGAAGAGATGCCTAACTTTGTGCCTTGATTGTATTCTGATAGTATGATCTTTCCTTTAAGCCTGTAAGTTCTCTTATACCTTGTACTATTCATTGAGAAAGCGGAAATCTGTGTTGGCACTGACCAGACGGTTCTTGGAACTATAAGAGGTTTCTTGTTCTAGGGATTCGACCAGAGGGAGTGGAGAAGGGGTGGTGGGGAAGAAGAAAATTCCATGTTCAGCTGTCTGGGTTTCCTGCTCCTTATTTCTCTTACTCCTGTGACTGGCTTCTTACCCACTCCCCTGCTTATGGACAAAAAGGTGATATTAATGGGAGATCGAGGGGAGGGTGGGTGTAACATGTATACATCTCTATGAGTGTGTGTGTGGGGAAGGAGAAAATTCCCTGGACAAACAAACGATGTTCAGCTGTCTGGGTTTCCTGCTCCTTATTTCTCTTACTCCTGTGACTGGCTTCTTACCCACTCCCCTGCTTATGGACAAAAAGGTGATATTAATGGGAGATCGAGGGGAGGGTGGGTGTAACATGTATACATCTCTATGAGTGTGTGTGTATACATGTTTCAAAGGCTTGTCTCTCTGGGCGTGATACAGATGACTAAGAAAGAAAGAAGGCTCAAGTCAATTGCTCTCAAACAAGTTTAACAAACAAAACAGGATTGTATAACTGGGCTGGTATGTGATGACTTGGAGAACTGCAGTTACCTCCCAAGAACCAGATAGGAGGAGAAATCTAATTATCGTTTTCCATCCTCTTCTGTGTCATCTTAGACAGCTGGTCTTGTGATACCATTTGAACTTTTAAATGGGAACATTAATGTATTGCAGCCCCAACCATTTATCTATTAAGAATAATACTAAAGAAAGCAGAATGAGGAAAGAAAAAATAGGCTAAGCAATGAAAACCCATTAATCTGAACATCAGTATTTGTGCCACGTTGTAATATATTTTGAGTTGCAATATATTGCAACGACCTAGGACAAACGGTAAAACGCCTTTAGTCTCAGCTAAACCTGACATATTTACCTATCTTTGGGAAGCTTGCTTTGTTTTTGTGGAAAGGAACTATGCTTCCTCCCCAGGAGACTTTGGGGGTCTTTTAGGAGTTTGGCAAAACATTTGCTGAGGTACCCCATTCAAAGTTAGGACTTTATACAGGAAAAGAGAGCGTTTGTATAGTGAATGAGGAGCTCTCTGGAAGGGAGAAACAAGGTGGTGCGCTGCCAGGCAGGCTAAGGTTAGTAGTGTAGTTTGCCAGTGAAATTTGCAGGTTTATGGAAGGTTTGGGTGTGTTAACAAAATGAGGCACAGAACAGCAAGTAGGGAGAACTCAACATTTGAAAGTACATGAAATTATTTTACTGAACACAATTTCATCCCAAGTATTTTGTAATTTCCAAATACTGAGTGCCAAGTTTGGGTAATAGAAGTGGCAACTAATAAAATTTGCTCCGATTGAGTGGCTGTGGAAAAGGCGTATTTGCATATGCCAGGAAAGATATTAATCAAAAAAATTTTTAAGATGTTACACAGCACCGATGGGTTGTCCACTGCAATACTGGTGTATCAGGGAGTTCTGGCAGGTAACTCTAGCCACCTATGGTTAATAAAGATGACTTCAGACAGCACCAAGCATGGACAAGGGCTAACAGAATGAGCAGGGTGCTGGAGTGAAGGTTGATTTAACACAGGATCTCTCTGAAGGTACATTAGTCAGATAAATGACTCGGAGAAAAAGAGTTAAAGCTAAACAGAACAGTACTCTTGACACAAGCTGATCATAATGCTGGCAACTCAGTTTCAGAAAGCTGGAACAGTTTGGTAATCAAACATTCCAACTTTAAGATGGTGGTGTGCTGCAATTATTCTTCA